CCATTCATCCGGCCATCCATCCATCCATCCATCCATCCATCCATCCATCCATCCTTCCATCCATCCAGGGAGCTTGTAGTAGAGCTGCTACCATCCATCCATTCATCCGGCCATCCATCCATCCATCCATCCATCCATCCATCCATCCATCCACCCATCCAGGGAGCTTGTAGTAGGGCTGCTACCCATCCGTCCATCCATCCCTCCCTCCCTCCGTCCCTCCCTCGTTTTGAATGCATGTTAGACTGATTGGTAACTCTAAATTGTCCCTAGGTGAGTGAGAGTGGATGGTTGTTTGTCTGTTTTGTCTCTATTTGTCCCTGTGATGGACTGGAGACCTGTCCACGGTGTCCCCCGCCTCTCACACAGTGATTGCTGGACATGGGCACCGGCGACCCGAAAAAGGAAGAAGCGAGTAAAGATCATGGATGGTGGAGTCGCGGGGGCAGCATCTTGAGCAGGGAGGTCCAGACATCTCTTTCCACAACCAGCTCTTCTGGGAGGACTCCAAGGTGTTCCCAGGCCAACCAAGAGACGTAGTCTCTCCAGCGTGTCCCCGGGGTCTCCACTCAGTCAGACATGCCCGAAGCACCTCCCTAGGGAGACACCCAGGAAGCATCCTTACCAGAGTTCATAGGTGAGGGTAGGAACTTCAACTAGGAGCTTTGCCTTACAGCTCAGCTCTCTCTTCACCAGAATGGACCGGAACAAAGTCCGCAATACTGCAGATGCTGCACCAATCCATCAGTCAATCTCTCGCTCCATTCTTCTCTCACTCGTGAGTAAAACCCCGAGATACTTGAACTCCTCCACTTGAGGCAGAACCTCACCCTCGACCTGAAGAGAACAATCCACCCTCTGAGGACCATGGCCTCAGATTTGGAGTTGTTGGTTCTCATCCCTGCCACTTCACACTTGGCTGCGAACTGCTCCAGTTCTAGTAGCTCCAGCTACTCCAGCTCCAGTAGAGCTGCTTCTTCTGAACAGAAGGTGTAAGTTGAGGCGGTCTCCCTTGAAAGTTTTCTGGGCATGTCCATATGAGAGCAACTTGCTGAAGAACTGTTCTTTTGGCACGGGAAGGCCTTGGTTTCTCAAAGGATGAGCTGGAGAGCTGCTGGGGTGAGGAACATCTGGATTTCCTTCCTGGACTTGTTTCCTCCATGACCTGACTGGGACAAGCAGCAGAAAATGGACTTTTTTTGTTTTATTCGTTTTTTTTAAATTAATTAATTAATTTCAAAATTGGAACATGAACATGATGGTGACACAACAGAAGTCAGGAGATCAAACTCACAAAGTGATTCATTCTTTGAGCAACAATAATCAATAATTTGATGGTGATCCATTCAGAACTTACTGTGCCACTTTATTACAGAAACAATGAAACGCACATCAGCTAAAGCAGCTAAAGCAGCTAAAGCATGAGCTTGTAGATTTGAATTATTTAAGTTTTCTTTCACTTCTTCCAGGTTGTACAACTGATGACATTCATAAGAAAGTGTACATGAATAAATATCAGGAGCCCCTTCCCCCTGACTGCCCTGAAGGCCTGGGACAGCTGATCAGCGCCTGCAGGTCCTTCGACAGTGACCAAAGACCGACTGCTGGAGGTACAGAATCATCATTTTCATCAACTCTTTGGAAGTCCACAAGCCTTTTCCATCAGCAAGACCAAACCAATAATGTAGAAAGAAGTTTGATCTTAGGACCTAAAACAAACATTTGTAGATAGAATATGTGTATTGTATGTGTTTAGTAGAGCCCGACCGATGTGGAAATTTTGGCTATTGCCGATACAGATATTGGGATGGAGTGGCGACTGCTGATAGCCAATATGATGGCTGAAAATGACTGAGCTTTGTCCACCCCCAAGGCGAGTGGAGCAGGGCTTGTTTATTTAGTGCAGCTGTTAGCACCACGAAGCTAAGCTAATCAGATCCGTGCTGTACTGTACCTGTAGTCCCACAGTAGGTTCACAAGTGGTGCTCTGGTCATAAACGGTCTTCCTAACGTGAGTTCACATTTTCTATCCTCCTCTATTCACCACAAAGTTATTAAGTGTTACTTAATATAAATTATACAAAGAAATGCCCTTCATCATGGTTTCAACAGTCAGTCACGTACGATGAAGGTCTAATTAGCATTGACCTCAGCAGAGTTTATTTTTCTTTGTGAGAAGTAAAGATTTCAGACAAACAATGCATTTCATTGAGGACGACAAAGATAACGTTACTAACGCTGATAAATTTTACTGCTACATTAGATTGATTGTTCTGGATACAGTTTTACAAGGCAATAGTCTACGCTAGGTTATCTAAACATTAGCTTGCTAACTTGAGAGGCACGTAGCTAATGACAAGCAGGTTGGAGGATTGAAGAGAATTTATTATTGTTGAATTTTTTTATTTTACAGATCGGTTAAAATAAACTTTCCATGCTCTGTTCAGCAAAACACTCTACACAGTGTTATGGCCACCAAGAACATATATTAAAGGAGGACACGGACTCAAAACATAAGGGTTCAAACTTTCAATTTATTAAAACAAGCTTCCTGCTGGGAAAAAAAGAAGATTATAATGAACCCCTAATTCCCGTGTCCACCCAAAACACACAAAAACCCAAAGTAGCAACTTAAAAGATGGACCTGGTGGGCCGGCCAAACAGGACATAAAGGTACCACTGCTTTGGCTTTGATGAAAGTGAAACTTAAGTGAATGGCCAAGACTTGAAAGTGGTCATGCTTCCTCTGTTGGATACATTGTACAATTATGGCTTGTCCCCAAACGTCTATATCGGCTTAAATTATCGGCCCTACCGTTATATCAGTCGGGCTCTAGTTTATAATACATAAGTATTTTCAGTGCTGTGATCTTTGTCTCCTGCAGTGTTGGTGGATAAACTTCGCAGTGTAGTGGTGCAGTTAGAGCTGCAGTGAAACGTCCGCTGCTTTTCTGCTGGATGGGATCATCTTTGGAGAAACTTTGCCAAAACATTTCCAAATGGACTGTCGTCACTGCCCAACACAAGACGAGCACACAAAGTCTGAATTAAACACACAGATGTTACTTTCCACCGTTTTCTTTTTTAAGAACCCTTTCATACTCGCTCTTCTCTGTTTTCTGTCATACGGTTCGATGTGCTGTACGTGCAGGATGTTTATAGTGGATAAATATATCGGTCATTAAAATGCTTTACGTAATAATGTTTTCTTTTTCAGGAGAAGCAGTTTAATTGTCTTATTGCATTAGAGCTTTGAAATAAGATTATAAATTAATAGATAAGCATTTACATTTTTAAACAAAAGGTTTTACTATATCACGTGTAATAAAAGCGAAATATATTTTGCAACTTTTAAGAGAAAGCATTTGTTTTCATGCAGTGGCACACATCATATAAACTAATGCTGTTATTGGCTGCAAGTCCCAAATTTGATCAGGCTGGTTTGCATTCTCACTATAAGGTCCTGTTTACACAAGAACAATCTCTGGAAGTCTAACAAGGTGGAGCCAGGTCCTCTGGACGGATTCTTCTTTGTTGAAACGTTTCATCTTTTATCAAAAGGACTTCTTCAGTCTGAGGAGCTGCAACAAACTCAGTCTTATAAACAGCACCTTCTCATGGTGGATCAACCAGTTTGTTGTTGACATCCAGAACCAGCTGTTCACATAATCAAGGACCATCAGCCTAACGATGGATCTTTAGCACCTGATGGCTGCTTGTTATTCACAGGAGGCTGAGTGATACTAGCAATAACAGAGGGGGACAGTTGGACACGGAGGCTCCACCCCTGTTTAATGATGGACAGGTTCTCTTCACAAAGATGGCCTCCTTTACTCCTCTCTCAAACCATCGTTCCTCTCTGTCCAGGATGTGAACATCTTCATCCCTGAAAGAGTGACCTCTGGCCTGGAGATGAGTGTAGACTTCAGAGTCCTGGTCTGATGAACATCATCAGGCCAGATGAAGATGTGCACATCTTTGATGTGTCACCCTTGACCCCCCCGGGTAAAGAGCTGGTCCAGTTTTCCATGCCAGGATGGGACCTGCATTGTCCCTCAAAGGAACTACCTGAGCAACCTCAGCCATGGTTATGGACGAACCAACCCCCCCCCAGTCAACAGCACTCCACCTCCACCACACAGTGTCTGTAAGGAGCTGCTCTCACCGCCTCAGCCGCCTGATGGTTTGCCACTGTCACCCTCTGCCTGGTGCTTGTTCAGGATGGAGGATTCAATCTGACTTTATTTAAACAGGTCATTTTACTGGTTACTGAATCTGTAATGTGTTGCTGCTGAAGTCATCTGGATTGTGTTCAGCTGAATTGAATTGCAATATTATGATTAAATTGGAACTTGTTGTTTTTTGCCTTCTGACCTGAGAGGACTTTTGTTGGAAATAACAGTAAATACATTATTATTTTAATGACATCATGTTTTATCTGGCATATATTGCTCAAACATGACATAACCTCAAAAGTGTGACGGTAAAAGGAGCCAGTGAGCTCTGAAAGAAGCCACAGCCCTTTTATTTTTCTGAGTGTAATGACTTGACAAGAATTATTATTCATTTCTTTACTTTCTCTCATTTTTCAGTAAAAGTAATGAGGTCACATTTTTGTTAAACTTCACATGTGTTCCTGTGCACCAGCTGCTGATGCTGATGAGAATGAGATGAAGTCAGAGGACCAGGGACGATGCTGTAACGTTTTTCTTCTTCTTTTGGTTTTTCCCTCTTCAGATGTCTCCACCACGAGTCATCCTTCTCCATCTATCTCTGTCCTCTGTGTCCTCTGTCCTCACTCCAACTACCTCCATGTCCTCTCTAACTGCATCGATATGTCTCTGAGCTGTTGTGTCCTGCGGGTCTTATCTCGGACCCTAGAATAAAATACTAACAGATACATCTCCTCTTTGTCTTGAGCATCCTTCTACCAGTATATCCACTGTTCCTCCTTTGGACATGTCCAAACCACTGTCCCTCCTCTGGACATGTCCAAACCATCTCAGTGTGTCCTCTCTAACTTTATCTCCCAGTTGTTCAACCTGTGCTGTACCTCTGATGATCTCATTCCTGATCTTCTCCATCCTTGTCTCTCCTAAGGAGAACCTCAACATCTTCATTTCTGC